CGCTGTTTGAAGGTGCTCCACTCATCGTTGTAGAGGCCACACACACCCCCACTCACTCCTCCCACCGCCTTGCCCGGCGCCCGGCCAGGCGTCGGCGCCGCCTTGCCCTGCACCCGGTCCGGCGTCGGTGCCGCCAAGGGGGTCTCCATCCCCCGTTGTTTGAAGGTGCTCCGCTCCACGCTGGAGAGGCCACCCACCCCCCCTCTCACTCCACCCGCCGCCTTGCCCTGCGCCCAGCCCGGCGTCGGCGCCGCCACGGCGGTCTCCATCGGTCAACGGGTCGCCATGGCTATCACCAGAGCACCGCATCGACAGGTTATTATTAAAAAAAGACAAGTTTAATCTACTCTCTCCGTCCACGAATAAGTGTACATCTAACTTTTGTTTTGTTCTAAGTCAAAGTTTAAATAAATTGACTAACTTTATCGAAAATAGTATTAACATATGTGACATCAAATTGATATATTGTCAAAGTACATTTCAAAGCGAATCTAGTGATACTAATTTGGTGCCATAAATGCTTTTACTTTTTCCTAGGAAGATGGTCAAAGTATTAAAATTTTGAATTAAGACAAAAAACTAGATATACACTTATTCGCGGATGGAGAAAGTACAGTTCTAGATTCAGATGGGAGATAATATATTACATCTAAATGTGAAATAGCAAAACTGTATATGTATACTTGTACTAGCATGTACCGTGAACCTTTGTAGTTTTTTTTAAAAAATAGAGACAAAAGACTTACCTCATTTATTAATAAAGAAGGAGTGTTTTAGAGTACAAATTAGTGGCTCCACAACATAGCCCGTCCGTCAACAAAAGGAAAATAACAACTACTCTCGCGGCATGATAATGCTCAGGTGCGTAGCTCCTGCCTGACCCAAAGTTTGGCTTCATCTTGGATTAGTTTTAGAATGTAGAAGGGGGGTGTTGATTTCTTCCTAAAAACTCTAGCGTTCCTCTCATTCCAGATGGCCCAACCGACAAGCATAGTAAGAGAAGCCATGGCCTTCCGGTTCGTCGTATTGGGCTTCGACATGTTTGTCCACCAATGTTTGATGCTGCGCTCCGCCTGCCATTGATGGATCTCGAGAGCCCCTAGGCCAAGCCACTCCTTTACCAATCTCCATACGCGCAAGGTGAACCTGCACCGAAAGAAGAGGTGCGCGGACGTCTCGTTTGCCCTTCTGCAGAGGGTGCATAGCCGGCAATTCTCCCAACTTCGCTTCTCCAATCTATCTGTCATCCATATCCTGTTTTGAATCGCTAACCAAGAGAAGAACTTGACCTTGGGAGGTGCCCAAACCTTCCAAATAGTCTTGTTCATGGTCGTCATCGTGGAGCCCAAGAACTGGATCCTATAAGCAGAGGCCGCCGAATACTCACCGTTCGCCTCAAATTTCCAGGATATGTCGTCATCAATGTCCGGTGAAAGATGGAATTGTCCAAGCGGACCCAAAGGTCCACAAACTCCACAATGTGGTTGATTGTTAGGTTGATGGAAGGATCGATCTTGCGCACCCAAGCATTGTCTCGCAGTGCAACCCTCATCGCCCACTTCCTTCGCTTGGAGGCTGTGAAGATGAGGGGGGCGATATCCTTAGGTTTTTTCCCTCTCAACCATGGTGCTTCCCAGAAGGGCGTCTTCCCTCCATTTCCCACGGTAATGACAGTGGAGGCGTAGAAGAGGTCCATATCCACCTCCGATCATGGGTTTCCTAAGCCCACCCAAAGTCTAGTCGGGTCCTTGCACTCCACCCACGGCCATCTCAACCTTAGAGCTCTTGCAAATTTCCCCAATTGTAGCACTCCAAGCCCGCCGAGATGCGTAGGGCGGCAAACAGTCTCCTAGTTGACCTTACATTTTGCACCTGAAGTTTGACTCTGAGCTGACCACAGGAAAGCACGCTCAATTCTATTGACATTGTGTAGCACGCCGGCGGGAACGTTCAGGGATGTATGTGGTAGACGACTTGTGAAGTGAGGACCGATTTGACCAAGGCCGCCCGGCCTATTGTGGTGATGTTTCTCCCTTGCCATGGAGGAAGCCTTGCAGCCACCTTGTCCTCAAGGTGTTGGTGAACCTTTGTAGTAGCATACTGCATGGAGCAGGGACCATGGGCGCAGTGTGGGGATTATGGGGGCCATGGCCCCCACAAACATTTTGCAAAACATTTTTTTATTAGTGAATGCTTATAATATATTTCCTCCGTCCCACAATAGTCGTAGGCCATTTTGAAGTCAATATATATACTTTGACCAAGTTTTCAGAAAAAAAATGTGAAAATACGAAATCTTTTTCATTAGATTTATCACGAAATATATTTTCATACAATGTATATTTGCTACTACCTCCGTTCACAATTACTCTCTCCGTCTTTTCATACAACACTGTTTCATATTTTTATGTCTAACTTCGATCATTAATATACCAACAAAATATGAGTTATATGCCACAAAGAGTATAGCATCAGACACACATTTCAAGCAACTTCGCCATGATAAATTTTTAATGACATAGAATCCATATTTTGTTGACTAAGTACAAGTCAAAGTTTGACACAAAAAACAAAGTCGTGACATTGTATACAAAGACAGTGAGAGTATAACATGTTTGAGATATTTCAATATGAACTACTTACAAACTGAAATGAATGAACAATCACACTAAAACATGTTTATGTAATCCGATTATGAAAAAAGTTAGAACATTTTATATTTGTGAATGGATGGAGTATTATAGAAATTGATAAATTTCTCTATAGACTTGGTCAAACATTGCAATGTTTGACTTTCTAAATCATTGTGCACTATATTATATGAGACAAAGGAAGTATTAAATTAATTTGGTGCGGCCTAAATACTTCAATACTGAAGCCCATACAAATAGATTACTAGGTTTCATTCAAACAACTGTAATTCAGACTTCAGCTCAAAACCTAATACAACCCATCTCTTCTCCCCATAAATACCATATTCCACGTCTAAACAAATGGCGACACATCCATTATGAAGTTGTTTCTCCGCTTCATTGG